GAAAGGAGGGGTTAAAGAAAGAGAAAGAAAGAGGGAGAAAGACAGGAGAGACATACACGACTCATCCGTGCTATCTGACAGAGAGAAAGAGAGAGCGATAGAATACACTTACGGTCTGACAGACAGAGATGAGAGAGACGAGGGAGGGAGAGGGTGAGAAATAAAACAGAGAGAGAAGGAAAGAGGAGGAGAAAGGAGAAAGAGTGAAGAGAGAGAGTAGAGAGGAGAGATGGAGGGATAGACGGGTGAGATGGAGAGAGAGAGAGAGAGAGGAGAGACAGAGAGATGAGCACTCTTCATCTGCTCTGAGATCTGTCAAAGTGTTTCAGCGGTGGGAGCAGAAACAGGAAAAGAGGATTTCACAATAAAAGTCTTACATCTACACACTAGAGAATGTCTTATCTGTACTGTCACGAGGAGCTGAGGTTTGACTCCCACAGCTGTGAGTTTTTCTGTGTGGAGTTTGCACGTTCTCCCTGTGTCTGAGTGGGTTTTCTCTGGACGCTCTGGTTTCCTCCATCAACCCACAACATGCACAACGGGTCAAATCCTCCAGATAAGATAGTTCTGATCAAGACTAACTCAAGATCTAGAGATGGTCCCACTGCTGCTGACAGGTTTAACCCAGAGACACTGAAGGACGGCTCAAATGCAGAGGACACATTTCCCTACGAGGACGATCAGATCAGAATCAGAATTGAAATCAGCTAGTAGGAAAGCTGGAAAGTCCCCCTGAATTGTACCTTTTATAAAAGTGAGTTAATCTATATACATATAAATTAAAAACAACATCCTTTTCATTATATATTTTATATTAATTACATTATAATTAGTAATTGCTAATACTCTCTTTAGTCCATCTGCAGAACTTGGGCAGTGACTCTTTAGATGATAAAATGCTCGTTCTATGTCAGACATGTCAAACTCAGGCCCGGGGGCTAAATTGGGCCCACGATATAATTATATTTGGCCTGCGAAATCGTATCAAGTATGCATTAGAGCTGCCCGTCGGCTACATTATATAGACATTATTTATTTAAAATGTTGTTATTATTTTATATTCTGCTTGATCTGGATTCAGTGTTTAGGCAAAACTATTATTAAACATTTATTTTAATAGGAAAAAGGTTTAATAAACATATCTTGAAAGAAGAGAAAACATGCAGATGTTGTTGAAACGTTTCAATAAATATTTAGTTTGGCCCACGACTTAGTCCCAGTTTTTAATTTTGGCCTCAATGTTCAATGAGTCAATGTTTTATGTGGTCAGCTGGGAAAATAGGCAGTGCCCTCACTTCCTCATGGGTAACAATTTCAGGATTTGATCTGACATCCATCCATCCATCCATTTTCTTCCACTTATCTGGGGCCGGGTCGCGGGGGCAGCAGTCTAAGCAGAGACTCCCAGACTTCCCTCACCCCAGACACGTCCTCCAGCTCCTCCGGGGGAACCCTGAGGTGTTCCCAGGCCAGTCCACCAACACCTCCCGAGAGAGACGCCCTGGGAGGTGATCTGACATATTTCAATTAAATACATAGTTAAGACCTTCCTAAACATGATTATGAACAATTTTTGAACAACTTCTGTAGAGTTTTAAGTTTCTTGTGCTCAGCTGCAAAAGTTTTAGAACACCACACTTATTCCAGGTTTTTTTTTACTGTTTCCTGTTGACCAAAATGTATTCTAAACTTTTAATTGATGAAAGTATCCACCTTTGGCAGATAGAACAGCTGAACACACTTGTGGCTCGTTCTTTTTACAACAGAAATCAAATATTGTCCATAAAGTTCTTCCCAAGTCTGTTGCAGAAGTTTCCATAAATGTGTGGCATTTGTCGGTTGCTTCACTCTTCTGTCCAGTTCATCCCAAACCAGCTCCATGGGGTTTAAGTCACTGTGCTGGACACTCCATGTTTTCAAACTCACCATCTTGTTCTTTTTTCCTGAGGTAGTTTTGGCAGAGCTTGGACTTGTGTTTTGTATATTTTATCTTTTTTTTTTTAAACCTCTGTCTGTTCAGTTTTTACCTTTGTACCATTTCAGGCTCTTCATTGGACTTGCCCCACTTGAACAACAATAAATAACTGGAAAAATTTAAATGTTCTAAAACTTTTGACCAGTCGTGTATGTACACGGCAGGTTAGGAAATTATTCATATTTCAACAGTTACAGATGCTCTAGGACATGCGGAACAAGAAAAAAGTTTTTAAAAGATGATTTCCTATTAAACTTCTGTGAGTAAATAAGGATTATATTGGATTATGATTGATTACAGACTGAAAAAAAATGTGTACCGCTTCGGGAAAATCTGTAAAATGACACAAACAAGGCCACACATTTGGTCTGGTACATTCACATTTGATTTTATTATGATATAGAAGCTGATTTTTTCTAACTCAGTACATCACATACTAAAGGTCAGAGAGAATGTCCCCCCTCTCCCGGGCAGTTGCGCTGGGACTTTCAAACTAGTGGGATGCTCGAGCCGGTATTCTGACTGAAACTAAAGGTGCACTGCAAAAAGTAATATAAGGGTAACGGAGGGAAACAGGCAGATTTTTGACATTCAAATGTCTCTTATTCAGAAACTAGAGGAACTATTGAAATAAGTAAAGTATCAGAATGTAGGAAAGAGTTACACTCCAACAGGGTCAAGTTAAACCTGTGATATTCTTTCAAGTTCAAGACAAAAAATTAAAAAACTCATGTCGGTAACAGAGGGAATGAAATATGCAGCACTTTTTGGGCAATAAATCCAAACAGTGATAACTCTTGGTTCTCACTTCCATATCCTTAACAAACTGGTTTGAATATTTGCTTCATATAGTTTTCTACCATATGGTACAAGATTAGGTTGAAAAACCTCTTACTTTTTGACTCATGAGATTTTTGATTAAGAAAGGTCATGGTAACGGAGGAAAAATAACGGAGGAAAAATTGTGCAAACAAGTAGAAGGTGCAGGATTTTGCATCATTTATCAACTTTTTTCTTCTGAAAACTTTAATATTATTTCAAAATGAAAGGAAACTATTTCTATAAAATATGTCAGTCCTTCCAAGCAAATTTTTATCATTTTAAATACATTTTTTTAAAAATCATGTACCTTCATCAACAGTTCAAAGATGGAATAACACAAGATATGATGAAATACATCCATTTATTGACATGATTTTCAGGTCTTTGAAATTTGGGAAATAATTTTTGTTCCATGTTTCATTCATGGTCTGTTTAAAACATATGGAACTTTAGAACCAAAAATGGTACAGAAAAAAGGTCAACAGTTTCATAAACTAGAGTACATATGTATCTGTTCAATACATTTTTATATCAGATGCATTAACTTGAATTTTTGGCCTTGTTGTTTACTTCTGCTTGACCGGGCCCATAGGTAAGTTTAAATGACTCAAATTAAGCTTAAATTTAACTTCATTTGAGTAGATTTGACTTGACAGTTATGTACCAATGGAAACAAGTATTTCATATTCAAACAACATAAGATTTAGTTTCTTGTTTTAAGAGCAAATCAGTGTTGTTGTTTTTTTATCTTTAACGTAACAAGATTCATATTTCAAGTACAAAAAGGCTTGTTCCATTAGTAGATCATTTTACTTGTCATGTGAAATTTAAACTGGAAATATTTCACTTACATTGCACTGTGGAGATGTGAAGATAATTGCCCCTGTTATGTGTTATTGTAGTCCACTGGTCCTGACAGGTGACACCCGCCCACAGAGTGTAAGTTTTGCACTACAACTGAGGTCAGGGTCATGTAAACTACATAAATCTGTTCACACGCGTTCTTTCAGCTGCTGGTTTCAGAATGATAAGAATAAGACTGTTGCTGTAGCGATTAACAATTTAAAACTGAATATTATATCTTTTGGTGAAAAGTCCTCAGATGTTGAAACATTCCTCATTATCTTATTAGAGACTGGGGCTGGCATCAGAGGAACCATATCTCAGCTTGTGAAGGAAGCATCTGGAAAAAAAACTAAACACTTACATTACCATGGACAAATGAGAAACAGAAATACTTGGGCTTGTCATGAGGTCTTGGTTCAGTCCTGGTTCAGTCCTGGTTCAGTCCTGGATCAGTCCTGGTACAGTCCTGGTTCAGTCCTGGTTAGGTTCATTTGACTCTGACCAAACCAGACTGCTTATATTGTCATGATAATTGTACCTGTTGAGATGCCATTTAGTCCTGGTTTAGTCCTGATCTAGTCCTGGTTTAGTCCTGATCTAGTCCTGGTTTAGTCCTGATCTAGTCCTGGTTTAGTCCTGATCTAGTCCTGGTTTAGTCCTGGTTAAGTCTTGGTTGGTTTAGTCCTTGGTTTAGTCCTGATCTAGTCTTGGTTTAGTCCTGATCTAGTCTTAGTTTAGTCCTGATCTAGTCTTGGTTTAGTCCTGATCTAGTCCTGGTTTAGTCCTGATCTAGTCTTAGTTTAGTCCTGATCTAGTCTTGGTTTAGTCCTGATCTAGTCTTGGTTTAGTCCTGGTGTAATACAGGTGTAATAACTGTAGAATTGTTGTAATAATAGAATTCAGTTCATGATTTCATCAGGCCCAGAGAAGGTTTTTTCTGATGTTTGTTGAGCTGTTGTGAGCTTCTTTTATGTTTTATCCATCTGACGGGTCCCAGTGAAGTCTGAAGCAGAAGTTAAAATAAACCCAGTCCAGATGAAACCTGCTCTTTCTTTGCTGACACGTGTTTTATTGTGATAGTCTCGGTCGGATGTGCCCCCGTCCCTCCGCTCTCACTTACCCGCCCCTCGGACTCTCTCGCACGGCCAGTCAGATCTCGTTCCGTCGAGTGCACAGTCAGACACGGAGCTGGCACCGCCGCTGCTCCTGGCTCCTGCACCGCTTCACTGTCTCCACCTCTGCTCCACCGCCGCGGACTCCCCGAGCAGCGCTGGCCGAGCAACGAGGCGCCATGGCCCGCGTGGTGGTCCCAGGGATGCCGGGGGATGACGAGGACGAGGGGGCCGGGGAGCTGCTGATGCTTAGCCGGCGTAGGAGCAGCAGAGGCCGGCGGAGGAAGAGGAAGGAGCTGTTCGTGTTCCAGATGTGCTTCGCGGGGCTGCTGCTGGGGCTGGCCACGGGGCTGCGGTCCGTGACGCACGACGCAGGTACGGCACCGACACGCGCGCTGCTCTGCCCCGCTCCGGGCTGGATGTGTGCGGATAACGGGATTTTACTCTCAAATCATGCTCAGATGAGAAACTGAAATACTTGGCTCCATCATGAAGATCTGGTTTGGACCTGGTTCAGACCTGGTTCAGTCCTGGTCAGGTTGGTTTGATTCAGTCCAGAATGTGGTCTTGCCTATATTTTATTTATGGTGCTGTTTGGGCCTGGTTTGGTCATGACAACTGCTGAGTGTAATTTAGTTCTGCTTTAGTTCTTGTTTAGTCCTGGTTTGGTCCTGTTTAATACAGCTGTAATACAGGTGTAATACTGGTTTAACCCTGTACAGTCCGAAACCCTGTTCTCTGTTCCTGGTGTAGTCCAGATCTAGTCCTGGTTTAGTCCTGGTTTAGTCCTGGTTAAGTCTTGGTGGAGTCCTGGTGTAGTCCTGATCTAGTCCTGGTTTAATACAGGTGTAATACAGGTGTAATACTGTCTAGTCCTAGACCTTGTTCGTTGCTGGTTCTAGTCCTGATTTAGTCCTGATTTAGTCCAGATCTAGTCTTGATCTAGTACTGGTTTAGTCCAGGGTTAATACAGCTGTAATAAGGTGTAATATTGGATTAGTTAATATAGGGACTGTTTATTACTAAACCTTGTTTCTTGCAGGTTGTAACCCTGATGTAGTCCTGATGTAGTCCTGGTTTAGTCCTGGTTTAATACAGGTTTAATACAAGTGTAATATTGAATTAGTTAATATTAGGATTGTTTAGTTCTAAACCTCGTTTGTTGCAGGTCGTAATCCTGATTCAGCCCTGATTCAGTCCTGGTGTAATACAGCTGTAATTCAGGTGTGATATTAGTTTAACCCTGTCCAGTCCTAAACCTTGTTTGTTGCTGGTCCTATTCCTGATCTAGTCCTGATTTTGTCCTGATCTAGTGCTGATTTAATCCTGGTTTAGTCCTGGTTTAATACAGGTGTAATACAAGTGTAATATTGGATTAGTTAATATTAGGATTGTTTAGTTCTAAACCTTGTTCATTGCAGGTTGTAATCCTGGTTTAATCCTGACTCAGTCCTGATTTAATTCTGGTTTAGTCCTGGTTTAATACAGCTGTTGTACAGGTGTAATGTTGGTTTAACCCTGTCCAGTACTAAACCTTGTTCATTGGAGGTCCTAGTCCTTGTTTAGTCCTTGTTTAGTCCTTGTTTAGTCTTGATTTAGTCGACTATTGGTTTAACTTTGGTTTAGTCATGTAGTCTTGGTCCAGACCTGGTTAAATCCTGGTTTAGTCCTCCTTTAGTCCTGTGATCGACATAGCGCTGCTCTTGTTCCTGCAGAGCTCTGTGTTTGGAGCAGATCTGGACCTGGTCTATTTTGCCTTATGAGAAAAGAGTTCACATGTGGACAAGACTAAAGTGCGATGCCAAAATCATCACACAAATAATGAGAACTCTTTTTGTGACGCAGGAAACCTTACTCATCCCTGTTTAACTTCAGATCTTCTAAGATTTTCTCTGTCGTCATTTTATAGAAGCTTGTTTGGACAGGATTTCTGCTTTATTTCTTTTTACTTGTGTACTTATTTTTACATTTAACCATTGACATTTTATAAGTTTCTCTTTTGTTTTGATGCTCTGAGTCTCTCCTCCCTTTGCTCCCCATGCTAAATCACTCCCCCTCAGAGCGCTATGACAAGCTGTCAGGTTTGTGAAGTTGCAGTGTACAGTTTTGTCTCATGTTTTTGTATATTTCTGGAGAAGTTTTGTGCGAGAGCGTGTGTGATGTAGGCTTGTGGGCGGAGCTTTGAACAGAATCTGCCCCGGAGTGATCTCTAGATGACTCAAACATGCATGGATGATCTAAAAGCACATCAGGTGGGTTTTTGACGAAGGAAAGCTACAACAAAACGTACAAAAAAAACTTTAAAGTGCTTTTTTTGGGCACTACAAAACAGATTTTCTCTTTTTAAAGAGCTCATCAAAGTAACTCTTTTCACATTGTATCTTCTGCACATAAACAAGCACAATTTGGGTTTTGGAACATCCATTACACAATAGTTATGAAATCTTACTGATTTCTTGGAGACAGTCACAGACCAGGAACTATGAAATGCCGACTATTGCTCCTCCCACAGGCTCCGCCCTCCAAACGTGACGTAGGTGATGAGTGAGCCGCCCTTCCTCCGCCATCTCAGGTCGTCACAATGTGGACAGGCGACCACTAAACATCAGTGGTCGTAATGACTGAGGTGTAATCACCATTTTGTTCTCATGCAGAAACATTGAAGACGACTCACTAGAATAACATGATGCCCTAAGTCTGTTGTTAGTATCAGTGTGATATCATAGGACGACGTAACATTTGTCAAACTAAAACAGGTAGAACAAGGGAGATGACATGCAGACTGAAATTATATGTGGGATAATCTGCAGAAATAAACGTTGCAGCTTGTTTTTAGTTCTCTTCAGTGGTTTACTCACGGTAAACTTACAGATCTAGGATCTCCTTCACTGGACCCTGGTATCATGGGAACAACATCCTTTTCCAAAGTGTCGCTTCTGCTTCATTGTAAGTCCAGTTTTAAAATACCTGTACTTCTTGAAGCAGACTTTGGTGAAGTGTCGCAACAAAAATATTCTTGGGGATCTTTTAGTCTGTGTTCTCAGAAATAAACTCCAGCCACTTAGCAGGCCTTGCTTCTTCTGTCGACATGACAAATAATAAAGATAAATTAGGGGTGTGCAAAAATATCAAAATATCGATTTATCGTATCGTTTAATGTGATGATACAGTATCAATATCGTGGGCTGCTGTATCGATATATCACCAAGAGTATATTTTTGGTATTTTTTACTAAATTATTTTGTTCCAGAGCTACAGTTTTGTTGTTTGTTTAGTGGAAGGAAACTCATTTATGCAGCACATTTGACATTTTCACAGTTTTTATTATTAAAATGTTTGTGTTTCATATTCACTTTGTACAAGAAGTGGTTTAATAAGACTTTTAGTATCATAGCTACGATTTAGCCTTTATTTTTTATTGAATCATATCGAATCGATTTGAAATATATTGTATCGAACTGTATTGACTCAAAAGCTCGCTGTATCAAGATATGTATCGTATCGTGGCCCATGTATCGAGGTATGTATCGTATCGGCAACTTCTTAATGATACCCAGCCCTAAGATAAATAATGCAGAACAGCAGACCTGTACGGTGCAGACGCAGGACGGTGTGTGAGTGGGTGGAGGCGTGGCGGAGGTGGTGGAGCAGGGGAGGGGGGCGGGTGTGAAACTCTTTCTGCTACGTCAAACGCATCATAGGTGTATCTGCCGCGTCATCGTTGTAGCAGCTTTAGTTGGTTGTCATGTGGGAGGGCAGAAATACGCTGCAATTTGTTAAAAAAAACACCAAATCAATCTAAAAACCACTTCGGCGACAAATACAAGGGCCCACACATCACTCTTAGAAGGTAGAAAGCTCTGAAAAGTTGATTTTGCATGAGATGGGCTCTTTAAACGACGGGCCAAACCTGGAGCTGTGGTGCTTTAAAACCAAATGAAAAGTGCATAGGGATACATGTTGTCATCCGTTGTAATCAGCAGCAGAAATAGGCTCTTAAATGTAATTACATGAAGCCGCTGAATCCGTCACAGGCTCTGAAATGTCAATAAGACCAATCTCCGAATCTGCAGGACTCGATCAGGACGTTTAATGAGCTGGAAATCTATACGAGGATGATATTCAAAACACCAGACTCTGTGGAGATCGGGGTTTTATGTCTCGCACTGGGATTTTTTATTTTATTTTTTTGTCACATCTAGATTTAGGAACTAGGTTGACGTTTAAATCGAGCAGGAAACCACAAAAAGAAGCAGAAATGTGCAGAAATGTCACTCTTTTTAGGAGATGATGACGCTCGACATTTCTGTTGCTGTTTCTGTTTTTGTGGTCGTTTTGAATTGTTGTCACTCTCTTCTCTCTCTCTCTCACACTCCTCTTTTTACTCCACCTCTCTGTCGCTCTCTACTCTCGTCCTCTTTCTAACTCTCTATCCACCCTCTCCTACACTCCCTCCTTTTTTCTCTCCCTCTCTCTGTCGCTTTCTGCTTTCTCTCTCTCGCTCTCTATCCACCCCTTCCTCCTCTCCCTCTTCTCTTCTCTTCTCGCTCTCTCTCTCTCACTCCCTCTCTTTCACTCTCTACTCTCTCACTCTTTATCCACCTTACCCCTCTACCTTCCCTCTATATCCACTCTCTCCTCCTCTCTATCTCCTCCCCTCTCTGTCAGTCTTCTCTCTCTCTCTCTAACCCCCCCCCCTTCTCTCTATCTTTCTCTCCCCCTCTTCTCTCTGTCTCACTCCCTCTCTACCTCCTGTCTATCTCTCTCCCTCTCTGTCACTCACTACTCTCCCCCTCTCTCAAATCCCTCTTCCTCTCCTCCTCTTTCTCTCCCTCCCTCTCGCTGTCACTCTCTTCTCTCCCCCTCTCTCACTCTCAATCCACCTTCTCCCCCTCTACCTTCTCTCTATCTCTTTCCCTCTCCTCCTCTCTGTCAATCTCTTCTCTTCTTTCTCCCTCTCTCTCACTCTATATCCACCCTCTCCTCCTCTGCCTCCTCTCTCTCTCTCTCTCTCTCTCCCTCCCTCTCGCTGCCACTCTCTTCTCTCCCCCTCTCTCACTCTCTATCCACCTCCTCCCCCTCTACCTTCTCTCTGTCTCTCCTCCTCTCTGTCACTCTCTATTCTCTCTCTCTCACACAGACACTCTCTATTCAGCTTCTCCTCCTCTCCCTCTTCTCTCTTCTCTCCCCCTCTCTAGCCCCTATTCCTCTCCCTTCTCTCTATCTCTCCCTCCCCATCTCTCTCAATGTCTTCTCCTTTCTTCTCTCTCTCTCACTCTATATCCACCCTCTCCTCCTCTCTCTTCCTCTCCTGTCTCTCCCCCATTCTGTCATTCAATACTATCCCCTCTCTCTCAAATTCCTCTTCCTCCCCCTCCTCTCTCTCTCTCTCTCGCTCTCTTTCTCTGTCTCTCTCTCTCTCCCTCTCTCTGTCACTCTCTTCTCTCTCTCTTGCTCTTTCATTCTATATCCATCCTCTCCTTCTCTCCTTTCTCTCTATCTCCCCCCCCACATATCACGTGTCACTTTCTACTCTCTCTCTCTCTCTCTGTCACTCACTACTCTCCCCCTCCTCTCTCAAATCCTTCCTCCTCTCCCTCCTCCCTCTCACTCTCTGTCCAGCTTTCCCCCCTTTACCTTCTCTCTGTCTCTCCATCTCCCCCTCTCTGTCAATCTCTTCTCTCTCCCTCTCTCTGTCATTCTCTACTCTCTCTCTCTTTGTCGTTCTCTACTCTCTCTCTGTCGCTCTCTACTCTCTCTCTCTTTGTCGTTCTCTACTCTCTCTCTCTGTCGCTCTCTACGCTCTCTCTCTTTGTCGTTCTCTACTCTCTCTCTCTTTGTCGTTTCTCTACTCTCTCTCTCTCGTCATTCTCTACTCTCTCTCTCTGTCGTTCTCTACTCTCTCTCTCTTTGTCGTTCTCTACTCTCTCTCTCTCTGTAGCGCTCTACGTTCTCTCTCTTTGTCGTTCTCTACTCTCTCTCTCTGTCATTCTCTACTCTCTCTCTCTTTGTCGTTCTCTACTCTCTCTCTGTCACTCTCTATTCACCCTCGCCTCCTCCTCTCCTTCCTCTCTTCTCTCCCCATCTCTCACTCTCTATCCATGTTCTCCCCCTCTACCTTCTCTCTATTTCTCTCCCTCTCCTCCTCTCTGTCAGTCTCTTCTCTTCTTTCTCCCTCTCTCTCTCTCTATACTCTATCCACCGTCTCCTCCCCTACCTCCTCTCTCTCGCTCTCCCTCTCTGTCACTCTCTACTCTGTCTTTCTCTAATTCTCTGTCCACCCTGTACTTCTTTCCGTCGTCTGTCTTTCTCCTGCTTTCTTACTCTCTACTCTGTCTCTGTCTCTCTCTCTACTCTCTCTCTTTGTCACTCTCTTCACCTTCTCCCCCTCTACCTTCTCTCTCTCTCCTCCTCTCTGTCAGTCTATTCTCTTTTCTTCTTCTCTCTCACTCTGTATCCACCCACTCCTCCTCTACCTCCTCTCTTTCGCTCTCCCTGTCTGTCACTCTCTACTCTCTACCTTCTCTCTATCTCTCCGTCTCCCCCTCTCTGTCAGTGTCTTCTCTCTCTCTCTCTCCCTCTCACTAATATCCACCGTCTCCTCCTCTCCCTCCTCTATCCCTCCCTCCCTCAATATCACTTTACTCTCTTGTTTCTTAGAATAGTGTCTTTTATTTCAATATTTTTACAAATCTTCCAAAAACAGTTGATCGTTTTTTTGTTTTTTTTTCTCTAAACCTTTCGTTGTAACAGGGCAAAACAAAAAAAAGCTTTGAGTGTTTTTATGGGAAAGGACAATAAACCAGGGCCAGTATCGGTATCGGAACTCAGAGAATCGTTTTAATCTATGAGTACGAAGCAGATATTTAGTGTTGTGATATCGTCTGTGTTGTTCCAGTCTCATTGTCACTTGGTCATCTGTAACTTTTGAACAGCTTCACTTCAGTCTGTGGCTCTTGCACATTAACAGTGACATTAACACTTCAGTTATGATTCATTAATAACAAAGAAAATAGAACGTTTGTCAGTGCAGCATGTTGTGGTGCGACAGTTATACTGACGCACACAGTTCTGACGAAAACAGAGGAGTACAGAAGCTCTCTGGGTCTGCTGGACGGGACGAGGGCTGGTATCATTAAGAAGTTACCGATACGATACCTACCTCGATACCAAGGCTACGATACGATACATACGATACCTAGGCTTGATACAAACCCTGATACCAAGGCTATGATACGATACATACCTCTGATACCTAGGCTACGATACGATACGATACGATGATACCTACGATACTTAGGCTATACGATACGATATCGATACCTACATACGATACATACCTCGATACCTAGGCTACGATACGATACATACCTTCGATACCTAGGCTACGATATGATACATATTGATTAGGCTATACGATACGATATATACCTCGATACCTAGGCTACGATACGATACATACCTACGATACCTTAGGCTATGATACGCTACGATACGATACATACTTGATACCTAGGCTACTACGATACGATACATACCTTGATACCTAGGCATACGATTACATAATACATATGATTCGATACCTACTAGGCTACGATATGATATATACCTCGATACCTAGGCTACGATACGATACATACATTGATACCTAGGCTACGATACGATACACACCTCGATACCTAGGCTATGAAACGATACATACCTATACATACATACAATTCGATACGATTCAATACGATATATTTTAAATCGATTCAATACCGTTCGATAAAAAACAAAGGCTAAATCCTGGCTTTGATACTAAAAGTCTTTGTTAAACCACTTCTTGTGCAAACTTCATATGAAACACAAACATTTTAATCATTAAAACAGTGAAAATGTCAAATGTGTTGCATAAATGAGTTTTCTTCCACTAAATAAGCAACAAAACTGAAACACGACGCTCAGACGGAAACAACTTAAAGAAAAATGACACTTTAACTTTAGTCTCTTCAGTTTTGGCCACAGACTTTACGTTTGTCGACTATTTTGAAATGAAATGCAATTTATTTTTTAAGACATTTCTCCAGACAATAAAAGAGCTGGAGTTTAAAAGTGTCTGTGAGTTTTATCTGATGAAGTCGTCCACTGAAATTCATTTACATAAAATAAATGTTCCTTTTGGCGCAAAAATTAATTGAGATGAATTAATTATTAACCCTGTCATTAATTACATTCTTTTTTTAAACCAAGTCCTACCCTTAGTTAAACATATGTATCGATATCGGCAAATATTAATCGGTGACAGTTGCTATAGTCAAACAGTGAATTTCAATATCGACTCAAAAAATCCATATGGGACCAAGCCTAGTGATGATACATTTGTTTCCTTGGGCAATACACTTCACTTGGCAGCTGTGGGCATCATGTGTGGTCGTTTTTAAATCAGATGCCCTTCCTGTCAGAAATGTTAAAGATGTACTGTGTCGCTTTTCTGGTGGAGGATCTGCCACCTGCACAGCAAAAACTGAGCCTTCAAATTTCAAGGTAAAATATTTCAGAAAAAGTGTTATTTTAACTATTTGAAAGTTAAAAGGAGTTTCGAGTCGGGGTTATTTAGCAGAGTTGATATGGTTGAAGTGAATTCAACTTCCCCTAGTGTTAATTCAACTTTCACTAGTGTTAATTCAACTTTCACTAGTGTTAATTCAACTTCTGTTAGAGTTAATTCAATGTTATTAAAAAATATTAAATTTACTCTAGACCAGATTCGAATCATATAAACCCAGAGAAAATGTTCAAATTGATTTTGCTGTTTGCTTTCCTCCTTAGCTCTGTAATGACTTTGCAAAAAATATTCCACAACATGGCATTAAACTTGTCAGATCTGTGGAGAGGCGAGCCCGGTCACTGTAAGAATGTACGATTTTCAACCAGGCTGTTTTCTGAGTAAAAAAACAAACAAAACAAAAAACCTGTAAAA